AATACTAATAATTACATAATATAAACGTACAAGTATGATATTTATAAATTATTATAACCATATAATATATTATAGTGATTATACTATACAGATTTTATTATGACTATATTATGCTATTGGCTAAATTCATATACAATATATATAAAGCGGATAAGTGGATGTCGCTCTGCTGTACAGTAGGTTACAAGTGAGTCAATGTATAAAGGATTGTATTAGACTTGAATTCAATGATATAATATCATTGTATAAGAAAAACGATTCTGAGCGGAGACGGTTTGCCAGTCTGGATATTGTTATTATTTATTATATTCTGTAGGTTGAATTTATATTATAATAGTTATTATAATTTTTTATTTGTTTCTATGGTCATAAACAAAGCGTTAGAAATTAAAATCCCAATTTTAGAGCGTTTTAGTAATTTTTCGGTGGTTTTTCCTGTGGCATTAAATAACTATTGAGAAAATCAAAAAATGACCTTTCTAAAGTACCATCTTGATCCAATTTGCTAAAACATAAGGTACTATATGTTGAAATCGAATCTACTTTCTGGTAGATATTTTGTATACAGGATATAAAAAAAAAAAAAAACACCATTATAAAACCACTAGCTTCCTCGCTCCACTCAGAATCTAATAATAACAAATCGGTTACTTATATATTATATTTTAATTTTGAGCATAAATTTTAATTAATGATCAATTAATTTGTCACTTTTTGGCATGCTATTGTGTAAGTATAATGCTGTATATTATATTTATTGTAGTATTTATAAGGTTTAATTAGTAGTAACTATCCCTCATTCGTGGTGATTTCCGTATTATCTATTTTATATTTATTTTTCATTAACGCTACACTTTCATATTGCTTTTTGTCAGAAATTTGCTCGATAGTGGATAAATTTTGAAGTATTTTAAACAGTTCATTAGTGCAATTGTTTTCGTTAAAGTCTTGCTTCAGTATAATTCTGATTATAATCGTATATGCACTACCTACCATGAGTGGTTCGAGAGCATTTTAAAAGGCAGCACACTATACTATTATACCATAATTTGGTATTGATTGTACTATACCAAAATAATCCATTTAGATATTTTTAACATCCGGAGTGTGACGTAAGAACAAAAAAAAATATAAAAACATTTTCTCGTAGGTAAGTGTTATTACGGTATGGTATGAATAATAAGAGGCGTCCATTTTAAGTCCATATTATTAATAAATATTCTGTAATTTATCAATTAATGTATATTTCAGTATTAATTCTTAGATATAAATTGTAGTAGGTAGTATCAATTTGACAACATATAAAAACCTGATGAATGATGTGAGTAAGCCGAAATAGCAGAACGTGAAAAAAAACATATTTGGCGAATTCAATAAGAGCGGTGCAAGTGTTGTACTCATCAAGTGATCATACTACGAGAGTATACAACACAGTATATTGCACGTGCGTCCAGTATTCAAATATATATACATACCTATACTTGTTATATAAATCACGTTTGGGGGCATATATTTTCCTCGGACTGTTTCCCTATATAAATGTATTCGTACCGATAGACACAATAATAACGCGTAAGTAGTTATTCGATCAGCGGGGTTTCTCGTGCTACATTTTACTGGAGAGAGTAACGTCGTCAGTGACTATGTTATTCGTTATTGTAATGATTTTCAGAACAACAATAAATAGGTAACTATATAATGTACGCTCACGCACGCCGCCTTAACTTCCTCCACCGCGTTAAGAAAACATACGACACGTGGATTTTTTACCCCTCCTCCTCCTCCCCCCACAGCCACACCCCCTCACCCGCCGAGAAACCAAGCATATACACACATCGCCAGACATCCACTTTTGCGTACCTGTCGGCGGGGTGAAGGGCGCGGACAGGGTGGCAAGTGTGTAAACAAAATTAGATTTTCGGGGCTTCCGGGCGCAGGTCTCGGCGGCCGCGGAGGACGATATACAAATTGGATTCGATTAGGGCTTCCAGTGCCGCCGCCGAGTCGAATACGTGAACCGAATGGAAAACGCTGCCATATAATTCGGGACGTATAATACAATATATAGGTACATGGTACATAGGAGGTAAATATCGCAGAGCAATAACGTAATTTCCACCAAAACCAATATTATATATATATTATGTTATATTTACAACAAAGTGTAACCAAGCAATAATAATAACAATACAACGCGTTGTTTATATGTTTGGCGTATTTAGCGACGGCGCTGAGGGAGCTCGGCGCCTCTAAATAGGTTTTCCGATATAGTTACTATATGGAATAATAAAACTATGGAATTTTGAGATTATTTTTATTTCGAAATTCCAACGATAGACCCAACGACTTTTGCGTAGGTCGAACGTATAGTATATAGGTCAGAAGATTAGGTTATCATAAAAATATGTTTCGATGTAAGTCGAATGGTGTTAAATACTATACGCGTCTACAGAAACGCATAAACACACGACTGTTGGATTGTATTATTTACTGATATTGTAAAAATATTAAATATTATTATTTACTACGTGGTACTACGACTATAATAATACTTGAATGTCGCTGTCGTAATTTTCTAAGACGTGACGAAGTAAAAAAAAAAAAAAAAACCGAACGACTCGCCGTCCCGACAAAATACGACGCCGCCGATGCGAGAAAACAAAATTCCGATAGAAGTCACGTTTTTTATTTTTTTCGCCGAGAAATCGATGAATTCTCCGCACATAATGTACAAGAAGTATAATCACGTACTTTTATTTTTACTCGGAATCGTCTTAAAACAGTGGCGACCGAAGAGGGTGTAAAAAAATGTAATGTATATATACGAGCTGGTGTATAATAAAACAAACGGAAACGTCAGAACATATTATATAATATATTATTATTGTGCGCATACAGTATTTTGGTTCTTAACAGGGTTTCTTTTCTCGTGACATTTTCCCATGTCAAATTTGGACGTTGAACTCGAAGCATTATTTTTATTTTTTTCCACTCGAATCGACTGTATTATATTATACAATGTATTGTTTTCGACGTAGATTCGCGATACCAGTGCAGTCGACAGCTACGACCTAATATTCCTATCGATACCGTGCAGAATGGACAGAGGTCAGTCGATATAGGTAATGTATATATATATAATCATTGAATCTATATTAATTCGATTGCGTTTAATCATTTTACGACGTAATATTTTTCGAAGCGTGTTCACCGAATCGATGTCGAAAAAGGAAAAAAAAAACCTGTAATTTAAAATCAGAAATGTGTGTCGTAGGACTACTACAACTGCTGCAAGGCCGAAATATAAATGGTTTTATTTTCGGGATTCTATTATTTAAAAAATATATATATATATTACCGACACTGTACACGTACAATTTTCAGGCCGACAGATATAAAGTGTAATGGTTGTACGCACGAAATATGACATGAACGCAGTTGTACGATATATGAACGTAATTTGAACATTAGCGATTTTAATTGTATGTTATCATTTTATTATTATATACCTACATAAAAACGTTCTTCAGGTGCATATTTTATTTTTTACCGTTCACACATCCCTAATCATATTTTTGCTTTCGTCTTATCAGTATAAGAAATACACCATTGACACTGCAGTGTATCTTTTGCCGTACTTATCCCGTCATATAACTAATGCTAATCATCTTGAAGTGATAAAACTCGTTTTGAGTGGGTGATTTTGAGATCGCTGCTAAGATCCTTCCGAAAACATGCCCCTTTTAATCTCGAATGGAATCTCACCAGGGACGATAAAATATGAATCACTCTGTATACGTCGTATAATCGTTCATTATACGCTGACAATGACTTTTACGAGGTGGTGTATAATATTTTTATAAACTCTTTTATGGGACGTTTGTTTAACCCCCCTTGTGCTCACTCAGATCTTGCAGGTTATACCACCGCATTTTGCACACGACCGATATTATAAAAGTCATGTGAAACTGTTAGTATATATGATACCGCATTGTAACGCTTTAATATTATATTTGGTAATATTATACAGAGCACAAATATTTGGAAAGTATTATAACTGTGAAAAGATAGCTGCTGAACGAGCATAAAACACTCCGTGGTTTTGAGTGATATCATATTATTATAAAGTATTAATATAATATTATGCACAAGGTTAAATAATGATCAATTACCGCCGAACATATTATTATTGATCCTGAAAGTATTTTGATCGAATATCTGTTGGCGTTATTACCTATATTATTATACCTATAAAGCATAAGAGTAAAATACGATCTTTCAATTAATGGCGTGTAATTATTATTGTTATTGCGGCTCGTGATAACGGTAAACATATTATTATTGATGACGTCCGGTCAAACAAAATACACAACGAATAACTTTTTTAACGGTAAACCCGGCGTAGCAGTACCACCAAATATGTAGGGTCCTTTTTTAAATCACTTCAAGGAAATGTGTTATTTGTTGTAACAGGTACGTCCTAACAAAACGGCGGTAACACGGCGTCCCGAATAGGCAATTCAGGTACACCGTCCCGGTATAATAGCTGCAGTGTGTCGTGTGGGCACGGTTGTACGGTATCCGGTATCGTGCGAGATAATGCCTAAAATATTCTTGTTATCAAGATACAAATCAAATTTTGATCTCTTATGCCGATTCGTATCAACGAGGGAGAGGGGAGGGAGTGAAGTACAGAAGTATATCACACGCGTGCACCGAGTATTCGATTCACCGCATACTTTGAATGCCCTTATTTGCATTCCTATAACGACTGCCCATTAGATATATACAATGCACCCCTTGCGTTACGAGATTTAATCACGTCAAATTTGAATAAAAAAAAAATAACTAAATGTACATCGAACGCCCGATGATTAGGTGACACGAGCGCTAGAACTACTATTTTACAAATAATATAACATATAGATAATAATTATGGCGGTCGTAATTATGTAGAACAAAAAAAAAAAGGTTAAGTAGTATAGATAAGGAAGACTTACCTCTGAGGACCTGTGAACAAAAATCGCACGGTGTAATTTTCTTATACGTGTACTCCTGGAACTGGTGAGCCGTTTCCGTGTTGGCCGAGAACTGTGGGTTTCCGTCACGCCCGGTTTTCCTATATACACACATATTCACATATTATTATACAATTAGATAATTATGTGCGAACAATATTATCATAATACGTGTAGTCGAGTTGGCACACAACAGCAGCTGTGTAATTGCCGCGTAAATGTTATACAACAATTTATATTGTAATATTATATTCGTTTTGAGTATTATTTATTACATATATATATTACCTAAATATACGCATATATATGCGCATATATGCGCATATATTTATTAGTATTTTTTTTTTTTATTGAAGCCGGACGCGATTTTATCGTACGATAATATTTTAGTGTCAGAAGGACTAGATTTCGCGAGATCCTCCGCGTAAGTATGCTTCTTATATCATTTCACTGATGCACTTCGGGGCGTCGCAGAAGTGCATATAATATATATATATTATAATAATAGTACGGATAAACCGTCGTCGTCAAAGGGTAGAGTATAATAACAATGCCGTGTAGAACCGTGTTTATACATAATAATATAATATACGCTGTACATCCGTCACAAAGGACATACGATGCGATCTCGATGACCCCTTTGGAATAACAATATTATTATAATGGCACGCGTATCGGGGGAATCGAATACGAGCGACAATATATTATTTGACGACAGTCGACAATACCAGTGATTACTTTTTTTCGCTCGCGATCCAAATCGTCATCGTCATCATCATCATCATAACCATCATCATCATCGTCATCATCATCATCATCATCATCATTGTATTTGTATACAACACCAAGCTAGACCATGTCCGGAATCGTATTGTTTTTTTCCGTTTAAATATTTTCATTAAATTAAATAGTCCTCCACACTCGACACCCCTCTAGACCAAAGTTTACGATACGACTGACGGATGTCGTTTATCGTTTAGTGCGATAGGATCGTATATATCTTAAACCACGTCATATTATATACCGACGACGTGAAACGTCATTTAATACTTTGCTGGCCTCAGACTTTCATCCGAGTTGAGGTTTCGACTCTTACGATTTCGAGTGCACTGTGCATACATGAATGAAAAATTATATTTTTCACGTGATCACGTGGTGAATATAGCGTGCCGTGTGATACGGTTTGCACGAAGATGGTAACGAATCGGATATTTTAACGATGGTAACAATTTCACTAGGTTATTTATACTGAGAAACAAGTCACCTGTAGCGTACGAAGTGAAAGTATTGTTATGGATTTGAGGGAACTCGAGTTCAATTTAAGATAAGTTAGTTTGGAATTCTTATACATATTTACTGGACAGTAGAAAATGATTAGTTATCAGAAAAATTCACCTATAGTCTATACTCACTGATTTAATATTAACTAACCAAAAGTATTAAATTTAAATATGTTTCGTTGAAACCGTATAGCCGTGGGTTAACGTAACCGTATGATAAATAAATGGTATACTGCATTCAACTAAATACAATTAATTACATTAATTAATAATTGTCATGGAAATATACAATACTGTCAATACTTGAATACGATCATCAGTAATTAACATAATAATATTATTTAAAATCTCAATAAATCAGATATTCTAACAAAAGCATTTTGTCTGATAGAGATATGTCAAACGAAACAATTGTCATACTTTCATATTAACTGTGTATCATGTTATATTTAATCAATAGTTAAAAAATATTTCAAAAAATTAAACGAATAAAAAACTATAATTATTATTATAACAATAAATAGGCATACTTTTGTGGAATTACATCAATTTTAAAATTAAATTAGTAGGTACTCATATATTTTTTCCTAATGTATAAAACTTTCAAAAACGAAAATAAATTGTCTTATCTTAATCTGTAGATCAATTTAATCGGAGTTAATATGTAATTATTGTTACATTATCAAGTAAGAAATAATGACAATCGTAATTATTGCGTTTTGCTTAGTGAATTCAAATTGAAAGGTTAGGTTCACAATATTATACGCCTTTTAGAACTATTATTATTAAATCAGTACAGGTCTAACTCGAGAAGTGCTATTTTTTTCTTTCGAAATACCCTTGGTAAAGAAAATAGTTCACAAGGATGCTGAGAAAATAAAATGTTTTTCCTACGCATAATGGGTCCAAAAGCATTTGTATTCCAAGAAAGCTTTTGGGCTTTTGAAATTTGCATTATTATACAGAACATTTTTGGATACAATTGAGGCGCATTCAATTTAAATAATAAACACATAACTGACGAGCATTACTTATTATTTTACACTGACGATAATAAAAGTAATAATCCGGATAGTAACTACCATTATTATTATTATTATGATATTTTATACGACATATTATTATATAGATGGTTAAGTCCAATAAAAATGTCTAACCCGTACAGCCACCAGAGTATAAGAAAACACTCAATTATTATTATCGTTCTGAAATATTAAACGTGCCAACTAATATAAGGTGTTTGTTAAAAAAATAACTACAAAATGATAAATAGGGCAGGAAAAAACTTGTCGCCAAATATTATAAATATGTCCATTAAATTTCCCGGACGAAACATATTTAACAAAAAACAGTGATAAAGTATTTGTGTCATCAAAAGGAAACTGCTGCTTTACTAACGTATTTTTATCTAATGTAAATATACGTACATATTGTAGGTATACTGTAGCATAATACAGAGGCATTATTTTAACACCGAGCACTCTTTATTTTGAAATGTATAATAACTTCTTTCGAAAATTTTGATTTTAGAAAAATTTAAAGTAACGCAATGCTAATATTTATATTTTTTCATTAACATTATTAGTAATTTAATTTGATATTAATACCATCGAAAAAATACCTTCACTATACCAGGTATAGTATACCTATATTGATGTATGAATTGTGTATTCCTATATTTTAAACTTGAAAATATATCAAGATTGTGACAACGTTCAAGTCCATAAATATTAAATTAATAAATTGTTATGAATAATTAATAATATAATATTATGTTGTCGTTTCAAAATGAAAACTTGAAAATGGCACAAGTGTAACAAGAACTTAGATCTAAAAAGCACACTGTATAAAAGTTGGTTAAAATGTTGTTTCGTATATTTTTTGTATGCTGATTTCAAACTGCGCATTACGGTATTACATATCACAATCATTTTTATAGGTGTCATTTTCAGCAGTCCTTTGAACGTTATTCGACACCATTGATCCTATACAGATAGGTTAGGTTAACAAAATAACATACTTAAAACGGCATCGAGTTTAGAGTTTAAAACTGTTCAACCTTTAATCTCGTATCGAATACATCCAAAGAGCAAATTGTTAAACTACGTGTTTGAAAAAAAATGGGTATTTTATTATCATATAAAAAACAATTAAAAAATAACACTGTCACTATCTCATTTTGTATTTACAAAATCAATTCTCGTTTGGGAAAATTTAATATTTATAGACAATTGTTTTGGAGCGTTAATATAACTTTTAACACATTAGGAAAAATATAAGTAATGTAATTTGGCTGTTGATATACTTGTTAAGTATGACAATTGTTAAATAAGTGTTAAATATATTCATATATAATATATATATATATATATTCTCAATGTTCTGATGAAGTATCATCGTGTCTAACTACAACCACTACAGTTTAAATCATTAAGTGGTGTCAGGTGAATTATTATGCTCGAACAAAACGCATTAAGTAAATGAAACTATTGGAATGGTAAAATATAAGCATAGCTTAAGGAGTATAATAACAGATTGAACACAATTCATAAACTATTCGTTGTAAATGATATCACTAACATTTGTAGACAATGATATTTTAAACGGTCTAATAATGTATATCGGTCGTTTTCTGTAATTGAGTTCAGAGCGAAATCTGGTTTAAGGACTATTAATTAACGTCAAATTTTAAACGACAACACGCTTGTAACGAACCAACTCAGGTGATAGCCTATTACGAACAAATAGTCGTATCAACGAGTTGTATTTAATTTTAATTGTGCAAAAACAAAAATAAAAACATAAACGTATATTACATTAAGAAAACGAATCACGATTGTTTTTCAGTATTAGGTAGAAAATATTTTATTTTCACGATTATAAATACTAATAGCCATTAGGTACCTATACCGTGAAATATTATAATGATGGTTAGCTTATTTTTCAGTATTGCGTATAACGCAAGTAGTATGAAAATGTATGTTCTGAAGCATGATCCCTTGATCCCGAGATCCTTGATCCTTGATGTATGATTCCGAGATCCTTGATCCTTGATTCCGAGACTCTTGATCCTTGATTGCGTACGTGTGTGACGTATATTTACCCCTCCACCTGAACCCGTATCACGTGACCAATATATATATATTTTGTATATTTACCCCACCTCCCGCCTCCTCTGATCCGCCGCCGATGATTGCGTACGTGTGTGACGTATATTTACCCCTCCACCTGAACCCGTATCACGTGACCAATATATATATATTTTGTATATTTACCCCTATTTACCCCTCCACCGTAACCCGTATCACGTGACCGATACATATTAACCCCCCACCTCCCTTCCGATCCGTTATGTGAGCAACATATATTTAATATTATTATAAATATTATCAGTTATCAATACACATTTATCCTGTAGACTCTTAGGTATTATACTTAACAACAAATTAAAATACCTATTAGTGAATAACATACAATGAAATCAAACTTCCCACGAAATGTTATCATGCCTGTTAATGAATAACACATTAATAATCAATCTATACTAAAAAATATCATAATCGCTTAACAACGACAAATACCTATTAGTGAATAACACACAATGAAATCAAACTTCCCACGAAATGTTATCATACCTTTAAAAAATCTCAAGACACTGTATCGGGCAATATAATTTTTAAATAATTATAAATAATAACAAAATATTATCATGTATTTTGTACCTACCTATATCGCTTAACAACAACAACAAATTAAAATACCTATTAGTGAATAACACACAATGAAATCAGAATCTTCCCACGAAATGTTATCATACCTTTAAAAAAAATCTCAAGACACTGTATCGGGCAATGATATAGAATCAGTCTGTTCTAGATATCTATACCTGTACGTACAACGTTTTATGTGTTACGCTCCGTGTTTTTAAAGTCTCCAAACAATTATTTTACCGTTTACATTTGTCTACTATTATTTTACCACTACGTATTTTTGCACAGTGTTTAATTTTTAAACATTATATTATATTTTTCGTTTTTTCCTTAAACAAACTCAATATGTTTAAATGCAATCAATGTTCATCGGTTTTCACCGCAAAACATAATTTGAAAATCCATCAAAAAAAACATGTAGGTCTGCGGTTCTCGTGTACCTTTTGTCCATCGACATTCTCTTATAGGACCGGTCTCAACAAACATAAAAAGAACTTTCATGGTATGTATTAATAAGATGTTATTTTTCTATTCAATATTAATTTATATCGAATATATTTATTTTTCATAAGGTGTAGTTAACGTATCCGCTCATCATCCCGCTCAACCGATTGCTACACCGATTGTTAGAGAGAGCGTTATAAAGTACGCGCCATCAGCTATTCCACCTCAGGGGGGTATCCAGATTGCACCGCAAATATTCGTTCCTGATGTCCCGGCCGGTGGCTCGAACATGTTAACCGAAGACGAAATGTGTATGGAAGCCATGAACGAATATGAAAATGAAGAAGTTCAAGACGCTAATACAGGTTAGTTTTATTTTATAGATTCGTATAAATCATAAGTTTAATTTTATTTATTTTAAAATATAAAGTTTCATTTTAAACTTATCAAGTGGTCTGTGAAACGATCAATGGTATAATAGTTGGAGTATTCCGGCATTGCACCGGTTGTCAGATCGTTTGATAGGTTTATTTATTATTTTTTTTTACGCGATTTTTATTATATGTCAACATTTTTTTAACTTTGTAGTTATATCAGTAGATTTTTTTTCTATTTTTTAAGATTCGTGAGGTTAATTAGATTTCTAATAGATACGGTATTAATTTTATTAGATATTAATAATAGGTT